TGAAGCCGATTCATCCAACAACAGGAGCTAATCGGATCAAGTAAGTATCAAGTAAGTAAGTAAACATCGCCCTTAGGCGTCACATTTTCTGACGAGGATGCAACATCTACTAAGTTTGTTCGCTTGTAAAAAACAGACTCTTATCTGAATGGATGGCAGAACGAAGTGCCGGCGTTCCGTTTTATCTTGGAACTGAAGTCTGATGTCCTCACGCGCGATCGCTTGTCAGCAAGCAGTGAATACTTAAGGAGACGACGGAGACAGGAATAATCATCATCTGCTTGTGTTCCACTTTCAGCCAGGCACGTTTAACGTCAGAGGAACGTGGTTGTTTTTTTTAACGGAACATACCCTCTACCAATCAAAGCACTGTCCAAGGCTCCACGGTTAGTAGAGTGAAGTAGTATTTTGTGACCTGGGCTGATTGGATGACCGCATGCGAGGGTCCTAAACTAGAGCTCATAGGCGAGACTGACCGCTGTATTCTGTTTCGTCATTAAACACTATGGGTGAACGCAGCTCACATATGACTTTAAGTATGTTTGATCACAACCTGCGAGTGCATGAGTCCACTGAAAATCATTCATTTTGACATCTAACATATTTCCCGTCGTTCCATCCTGAAGTTGTAATTTTCTTGCCGACACCGGCAACTAAAAAGGAAAAAATGGTAATTCCAATTTACCATCTTTTTCTTCCGGCAAATTCTTCAATTCTATTTTGTCTGCCATTTGGTTTTTTCCCGACCACTGCAAGCGAAAAGACGACAAGGTTTCTTTAAATGTTCGGTTTCATCGATAACTATTCCCTCCAGGCTACTTGTTCACATGTCATTCGATAGGGTTTGGGTGGAGAGATGTTTCGTCTAATTAGGTTAACGATGATATGGGGAATGTCTTCGACGCTACCTCTGGTTGATTTAACCACGGCTTGAGGTTGTAACCGTCCTCATGGAAGTATTCTCTTTGAGACATGAACGTCGCTTTGCTGTTGGTTTCACTCATAAAATTCCCTCTCTTTTCACTACAGATCCATGCAGCTGAAATGCCTCGATATTTGTGACCACTGCATCTCCGCGCTGTGTTG